ACTAAATTTTTTCATGCTTCTATTAAGCACAAAAGGAATTTGAATGCTATTTTAAGTATTAATACTACTGATGGGAGGACTCTCACTGATAAAGATGAGATTGGTAATAATGTTGTGGTGTATTTCACTAATTTGTTTCAGTCTACTTCTTAGGTTCTCCCTATTGTTTCTGAACTATTTGAAGGTGAAAGGGAGTATACATCCAAAATTGAAATTTTACTTAAGGAGATTAATGCAAATAAGTCTCCTGGGTCTGATGGTTTTACTGCTGCTTTCTATGTAACTAGTTGGGATATCATTAAAAAGGAGGTGACTCAAGCTATCCAAAGTTTTTTTCAAGGGGATAACCCTGGGAAATATTTCACATCTTCTCTTATTATGCTTATTCCTAAGGGAAATGATAAATCTAGATGGGACAAATTCAGACCCATTTCCCTCACTTCCGTGATCTCTAAAGTTATTAGCAAACTGATTATCTCCAAAATACAACCTATGCTTAGTAATATTATTTCTCTACAACAATCTGCTAACAACCTGCTTTCATTAAAGGGAGGGAAATTACTGACAACATCCTTCTAGCACAAGAGATGCTGGAAGATTTGGATAAAAAGTGTCGTGGGGGCAATATGATTCTCAAACTTGACATTAAAAAGGCTTATGATACTATCAGTTGGGATTTCATATTAAATATCTTGCGGGCCATAGGTTTTCATAATAATTTTTGCTCCCACATGATGGTTGGTGAATAATCATTATTTTGTTCTTATTAATGGTGTTTCTTATGGTTTCTTCTCTACCACTAGGGGGATTAAACAGGGGGACCCCTTATCACCTACTATCTTTATCCTTACTTTTGATTATTTCTCCGGGCTAATTAACCATTTGTATATGAATAAGCCTTAAACTCAATTTTCGCATAAATCTTCGATTATGATCAGCCATTTAGCATATGCTGATGATGCTATTATTTTCAGTAATGCCAGTAAATTAGCCAGTAAATTAGCCATTAAATAAATTAGCCATTAAAGTTGTTATGCATGTTCTGGATACATTTCAAAATAATTCAAGTCTTCTTTTCAGTAAGGATAAAATGCAATATTTATTTTGAAAAATCAATTAAAAGCTCTATGGTGAATTAGAGTACTAATTACATTGGTTTTCATGCTGTGTCTCCTTGCCCCTGAAATATTTAGGAGTTAATTTGATTAAGGGTCATCACAAGCAAATACAATTAGATAAAGTTGTGGATAAGATCAAAAATAAAATTAATGATTGGAGGAACAATTTTCTTTCTAATGGAGGTTGTATCACCCTCTTCCGAAGTGTTTTATTAAGTATCCCTTTATATGCTTTTCAAATCCTGAACTTGAAGAAAAGTACTAAGATCCAATTGGAGAGATTATTTAACCGTTTTCTTTGGTCGGGTAATCAATCTAGAAAGCATTGGTTGCCAAGCCTATTTCAATGGGAGGTCTTGGTTTTAAAAGTCTGAAACATATTTCTGATATTAGCATGTGCAAATTGTGGTTTAAATTTCATGCAAATAATTCTTTATGGGCTCGTTTTGTTCATCATAAATATTGTGCTTATGCTAATCCGGCTATCGTCCAATGGAAAATAGGGGATTCTAAAAATTGGAAAGCTATTTTGAAGCTATTTTGAAAGCTAAGTAAGTTCATTTTTTGAGATGTGGGTGAAGGTAATATTTCCTTTTGGCATGATAATTGGGGTGGATAAGTGATAATTGGTAATATTTCCTTTTGGCATGATGATTGGGGTGGATAAGGAATTATCTGTTATCACTCCTCAGAACAATAGGATGAGTATTTCCGATGTATGGTTAGATGGAAATTGGGATGTTAATAAATTAATGTCTCTAGTTGGAGATAAAACTGCTATGGTTACTGAAATTCCCATAAAGAAGAATGGTAAGGATACTCCTATATGGAAAAATACTTCTAATATCTCTCCATCGAAGTTGTTGTATTTGAATCTTTATATTCATAATAAGTGGCGGTGGGGGAATTTTATTTGGAATAATTTTCTTACTCCCTCCATATCTTTTTTTCTTATGGAGATTTTTTCATAACTTGCTTCCTCTCGATGATATTCTTAAACTTAAAGGGCTGAAATTTACGTCACAATGTCATTTAAGTAAGAATGAGGAAGAATCGGTGGTGCATCTTTTTTTCTTGTGTTCTTATGATAAAAAAATTTGGAATACTTTGGGAAAACATTTTCATATTAATTGGTTTGATTGTAATGATATTATAAGCTTTCTTCTTAAGTGGAGGGTTGCAGATAGAATGGATTCTAAATTAGCTAGCTTCCCTTTGTTGGTACTTTGGTTTATTTGGGTGGCAAGAAATGATCATAAGTATCAAAATTTGGGTTTGGTCCCTACAAATATGGTTTCTTTTATTCTTGCTTATGTTTTTTGGGCTTACCTTATTTTGGGTTTCAATGTTAATTTACACCAATCTAGGGTGGGTAGGATGGTCACTATTATAAAGTGGCAACCCCCTCCTATGGGTTGGATTAAAGTAAATATTGATGGAAGTTGGATTTCCAAGGTGAGTGGAGCTAGTGGTGTTTTTAGAGACCAATCAGGCATATGCATGTGTTTCTTTGCCTCTTCAATAGTTGCCTCATCCCCTTTTGAGGTCGAATGCTGGGCTCTTTTACTTTCTTTGCACGCGGCTATCTCTTTTAAATTCTCCAATCTGATTATTGAGACCGATTCTTTTAATCTATATAAGGATTTTGATATGAATACTATACCAAAGTGGAATGTTGTGATTATTTGGAATAAAATTAGAGAGCTTATTGAAAAATTCAAGCTTTCTATCCAGTTGTCTCATATACTTCGTGAAGGCAATTCCCCGGCGGATTTGTTGGTTGGGAGAGGCAAACGTGAGGAAAGGTTATTTGTAGGTGTTTCACCTGGTTGTCATCTAAAACGACTTTTGTGGGGAGACTCTATGGAATTGTCTTTCATTAGACCCTGAATTGGAGTCTCAGCATTAATGCATCCTCGAAGGAAATATATTTGAGATGTTGGTTAAGCCTTCGGCTACTGTTTTTGAGAGGCTTTAGAGTGGATGGGGATATTTTTGATGATAAATTTTTTTCGTCCTGTCAAGAAGAAAATGAATTTTGTGAAAACTTTTTATTTTTTCTGCTGCCATATTTACTTTCCAAGGAATAGAAAAAAAGATTTTGGAAATATGAAGCTTATAAGGAGCTGCTATTATATTTTGTTTGATGGGTGGCCTCAAACTAATTTTTTTTTAGCTCCATAATAGCCTTAATGTAACTTTGGGCGTTGGTTCAGTTAAGTTCAAAGGGTTATGTGCAAATTCCTTTCCCCTAGGCGTGGAGGTTTGAATGGGATCCGATATTAAAGGTTACAGATTGGCTATAGGAATTTTAGCAAGATTTTGGAATATTTGGAAGCTTGGAGTGATTTATTATAAATCACTATATCATAGTTTTGTTTCATTTGGGAATGAGAGCTATGGAATATAATAGGACTTGTCTTCTGATGGGTCTATTGGTTTTTGTTTCTGCTTTACGTATAACTCTATGGTTGCAAGATGGAAGATTTGGTCTTGGATGGGAAGTACTACTGCGTTACTATAGCCTGATTTTCAACGATGGCAGTTTGCAACCTCATGAAATTCTCTTTGGAAGTTTGAAAAGTCTACTACTGAAGTTGCAGAGGTTTCTACTACCTAAAATTTGAATAGAAATCGAAGTTCTATTTCTCTTTATTGTCTTTTGGTAGTTATATAGTTATATTTTTGTTTTTTTGTTTAGGGTATACTTGTATTTGCTTGGTCATAAATTTGGTATAAGTTTTATTTTTATTTTTATTTACTTTTGTGGTTTGAATTGTAAGTGTTGGAGGATCCCTATTAGTGAGTGTGTAATTTATTACTTTTATTTTCTAGTTGGGAATCCTTTCCACCAATTTATGTATCTTTATCATTAAGATTAACGCGTAGGGAGAAGTTTCTTCAAATTGTTTCTTTATTTTACTATTTATCATGCCTAGTTTCATATATTTTGTAATTTATTTCTTTTCTCCATGAACTAAATCCCAATTCTAAAGATTGGATGTAGTCGAATGCTGAAAATTCATGTAATCTATATTAAGAACTCAATTGCATCGATCCCTTTTCTTACATTGAATCTATCACCAAGAGATAAAAATGTTGTGCGAAGAAAAGTATGAACCCCAAGCTTGTCAGAGCAAGATAGTGATCACTTCTGATCGGTATTCAGTATAAATTGTGATAACTTCTCATGCTACTGAAAATAATTCAATGAATATATTTAAGTAAAATCTAATCCCTAAACCTTAGCCTAATTGAGATATATCCCATGAATTTTCTTCTTCTAGTAGTTAGTCTTTTTATTTTTATTACAAGATAGCTTTTAGTTATTTTAGAATTTTAATCGTCATCCCAATTTTGATCATCCGAATAGTAATAAACCCAGCTTTAATAATTGATGTCATGCTCTGTGGGATGATATTCTAACTCACTACATTATTACATTTGTGATCACAAACTTTTGTGTAAGCATTTTGGGTAGGCATATCTCTTGATCTTCATAAATCTATTACATCAGGGAGATGAGGCAATCGATGAAGTTTTAAGGAGAAGCAGTCAAATCCCTTATAATCCCGGGGCTCTGGCATCTTGTATAACCCATAACCAACACACCTAACCCTCCCTCGGTGATTTGCCACCAATAAAACAGCCAGCAAAAAATAAATACCTAGATCCAAAGGTTCCAAGCGTAACCAGTTTTCCTCGGCAAAATACAAGAGAAGGATTCTCTTATCCTCTTTTCTTGATGATCACCGCCTCTCAAAATCTTTCAAGTCATATTAAACAACTCTCTGAGACATTGAATCTGAATTCAGCAGCTCCTACACCTATCCACAACTCCTGGGACACTCATCAGAAAAGATATAGGCATTAACATCTCACCTCAATTCTGGACATACCATCTCCTAAGAAAGCGCAAGCATCCCTGACGTGTGCTATGTAGTACGTATCACAAAGCCCACAGCGGCTGCATCACCAAACACAAGCGATGAGTAACCCCACCCCTCCTAAGGAATCAAAAGCAGTATAAGGGCTTGACCTGCAGTGCTCCTTGGCAGGATAAACCCCACCAGGGTGAATCGGTTTGGAACGATTCCTCCAATCTTCCCGAAGTCTGACGGATTTGGAAACTTTATCTGCGGAATAGAAACAAAACTAGTGATAAGGCTGTAGAGGTGATTTAATTAAAAAGTGAGGTTTCGGGGGCACAAGAGAGCATGCCTTCGTAAGAAGGGGAGGAGGCGGAGACTAGGACGAAAGAGGCAGCTGCAAAGTTGGTGGCCATGGCGAGTAGACTGAGCTTCGAGCGAATGGGTGGCCGTAATACCTCGTCACGGATAAGCCTGCGGTTGGGGAAATTGTAAGGCTTAGGTGCTCTCCGCAAAAAGATAGATTCTAGTAAATCACCTAAATTGCGATTTATTAAATTCTGAATGGGTTAGATTCAGATAATTGTTTGGTGACTGATTTATTGAATTTAAATTCAGAAAATTTGTTTGGCAAAAAATTGAACGAGCTCAAAAGCTCTTTCATGAAATCCCGTAAACTGTAAATCCACCGATTAGGATTTAATAAGTTGGGTTTATCGAATCTGCAGGTTTATTTTATCCAAAACGACCCTCGGGCAAAATTTAGCCTATATCCAAGCTAAATCTTATGCTATATCTGTTACCAAAGAGCCACTTAGTTTGGCACAATTTTACCTTTCATAAAATTATTTTTAAAAGTAATTTTAGAAAAATCAAACAATATAAAAGGATTAAGAAATATAAAAGATATAAAAGGATTATCTCCAAAATGAATATCTTGTTTGAATACTAAATTTTTCCTGTAGCTTTTTCAGAAATAAAAGATAAAAATATCCAATAGAGTAAAAGCATTCATGAGTCCAGAGTCATCCAGTTTTGTCGTCTGCTAGCTATAAACCATACTCATCGATCACCAATGAGAACTTCTAACAGCGATATAGAAGAAGAAAGAAACTGATATAGTTTATTGTTCCTCTTCACACATTCACCAAGTGCGTCCTCTCCAGGCCATCACCCACTACCCTCTCATCCTCTACACACCCACTGTCCACCAGCAACAATTTCCCATGTTTGGGCTGGATAAACTGACCGCTTCTCAACAACATCGATAAAGGTGAAACAGGATGGCAATAGCAGAAAGAAGATGAAATAAACTCTGCATCTTGTGATGACATTGACGCCAGCATCAAGGAGGATGTGTTTGAATTCCTCGAACTCGACAAGTCCTCTCTGATTGGCTTTAGTGACAAAGATCATGGAGGCAATGTCATCGTCATAGGTAACAGGAAAGCGGGAAAAGTGTTAACGTCTGTGACGTCAAAAATCAGCCATATTGCTGTCGATTTAAGGTACTTTTGGGCATTTTAGTTTTCCAAACAGCTGAATGCTGAGAGGCAGAGGAAAGACTTAGAGATTTGGCATTCTGAAATGGCAAAGCAATGTTGTTGCAATCATAGCATCTTGTGTCAACAGCAATTTACCAAATAATTGCTTCACGTTTTATCATTTTTTTCTATATAACGGAATAGAGCCCTGCCTCGTTCTCAAACAAGCCCTAAGTGCGGCTAATCAGACTTCCGGGTGTGCGGGTGCGGCTAATTGATCGTTCGAACAAGATGTAGCCCCACTATCATGAAACACATGACGGTCAAGGATGCAAGGAAAAATATGGGTGAATTTGGGTCTTAAAGCGTCTTCCTGTTTTTTAGTTTTCTCAATGGTTTTATTAAAATTTTGTTTCGATAAAATAATTTGGCCAACGAAGCCCATAGTCTCAATTTTACAAAACTGTCTGTGGCTGGAGGGGAAAATGGCGGTGCTAGTGCTATCCTTTACAATTTACTTAATTTTGTGTTTTATCATTGATTATAATTAAATCCCTTCAATCGAACTTACATTTTCGTTGTCTGCTCATGTGTTAGGTTTCTCTAGCAAGCTCTAAATTTTCTTGTATGCCTTCTTGTCTTCCAAATCGAATTTAGGTTTATCTTTGATCCATTTTCATTTTAATAACATGAGAAGCTTTTCAGTGCATTGTTTTCAGTTTTTCTTCCCTCTTGAAACTTCCATCTTCTATGTGCTATGAAGTTTTTTATTGTTGTTTTAGGGTGTGCAGGTCATATATGTCGTGCATTTTTTTCTTCGCTTTTGTTAGATTTTTTTAATCTAATTTTTTTTTTCATTTTGCGGCTTTTTGTGGATGTGTGGTAAAGTGCATGAAATGATAAAAGTTTGGGTTTGTGCTTTGTAAATAAATAAGAATTGTGTGCTCTATATGTAAGTACAGAAGAAATGTGCGTGCATAATAATGAAATTTTAGGTTTTAGGTATGGATCTTCATTGAGGTGCACATAATGATGAAAGTTTAGGTTTGAGCTTGCAGCTTTGTAAATACATAAGAATTGTGTGCCCAATATGTAAGTACAGAAGAAAAGTAGTTTCGTTCTGTTTATTTATTTATTTATTTATTTTATTTATTTAGTTTTTTAGTCGTGGGGTTGCTTTGATTTTAGTGATTGATTTTTGCAACTTGCTACGCAGTTAGTACTAGTATTTTGTTACCTCACTTCTATCAATCTTATCTATCTTATCTTGCTTTTTGATTTATTTGTTTTTAAATAAAGTGCTCTTTATGTAAATTTGTGTTTTTTTTTTGCTTGGTCTTGCTAGTGGTGAGGTTGATATAGTCTTGGTGGATTTGTAGGATAGCTTACTATGATTTAGGGGTTTTTTTCATCTATGTGCATGAATTTTGTGAGTTGTTCTTAGGAATTAGAAATGGCGTTGTTAAGAGCCGGCCTAATATAACTCATATACATTAGTATATTATCTCAAGTTGAGTGCGCAGCAAATTATTTAGTAAAAAAATTATTAATATTAGCAACAATTTTACTTCAGAAATTTTATAGTGTAAGATTAAGAATAATTCAAGTAAACAAGTCTAGCCCTAATGTATAAGACAACCTTACATCCAACTATGAAAACCTGATTTCCTATTTACTTTTAAAAAGTCATTAATACATGTTAACTAAGGTACCTTAGATGGTAGGATTTAAGCTCTCCATTAAAAATGCTTTACTAATACACCTTAAATATAAGTAGCTTAGGAGTAATTTAGCTTTAACTTTAGAAAGAATCAAGTTAAAGCAATTTTTAATCAGGCTTCTCCTCAAGCTTCTCCCCACTTAATATCTTTCTTTTAATCACTATTTTTTTTTTTACTTTAGGATCTGTATTTTAATCCTTAGAATAATTTTAGGATGATTACTATATTTGGATAGGTCTTTAATAGTTTTGAATTTCACTTTCATCTTTCTAGCGTAAAACAAGTTACATTCCTCTACTTTTAAACTTTTAAAAATAAGATTTCAAGAGATGCTCAATTTTTATAAAGTGTATATCTAAGGATACATAGTTGTACAAATATATAACTCTTTTCAAAAATGAATACTAAAATCATGTTTCAAAGGTTGAACTACAAGTTAAGTAAACACTAGAATTGTCTCATTTACATAGAATTTAAAATAAAAGATAAAATGTCTTTTATTTTTCAAAATTACAATAATTTCAAGTTGACACCACATACCTCAAACAACTTTTAAAACATATCAATTTAAATATATCTTACCGAGGACAAATATGTTTAAGCTTTAAAAAAAAATTTTCCCTCCTCAAATTTAATTTTGAACATATGAAGTAATGTAAAGCATAAATATAAGCTGGGAGAAAATAGCATAAAAATACTTGATACCACATGTACTTATCCATGAGATTAACAGATATATGCAGGAAGAATATATAAGCAGAAGAAAGTAAATCACAACTAAACAGTGATATATATGAAACTACACCAAAGAAAGTATAAAATGCAACAAGTAACTAGAAATAAACTAAATCTACAACAAAAAATATACATTAATAAAGAGAGTACATAAATAGTAATAGCAAGAAATACACATATAGTTTAATACATAGTAGAAAAAGAAAATAATGTCCAGTATAGCCAAACAACAACAAATAAAAATATAGTCCATAACATCCACAAACAGATAAATAAAGCTAATCACTCCTCATCCTCCTCATCATCATCTCCATCTTCATCATCTTCCTCTTCTTATTCTTCCTCCTTGTTCTTGTCCATCAACTGGTTTTGCTCATATATCAAGTAAGGTGGACAAACTAGAAACTCAACTGAGTTATTCCCATCGATCCACTGATTTCTTCTATGCATTTCCACTTGAGCAGCCTAAAAAATGGCATCTTGATCGTATTGGCATTTGTTTTGCCAATCTATATACGACAAATGATCATCAATATCATAAAATTCCATCTAAATAATAGATAAAGCATCCTACATCATCTTCAATTTCTCTGACATGGAAGCTATGCTAGTGGAAGGATGAGGTTGAGAATAAGATGTAGAAGACTGAGCTGAGGAAAAAGATTAAGAAGAACTCACTTCGCGCCCCAATGTAGCATGCTCACTAAATAAGTTTACATTTTCCTAAGAATTGGGCTTCAATGGATGTAGTAGCTCCTCCCATCTCTCAAAAGTAACACCAAACTACTGACAAAGAGCAGAAATAGTAAAAGGATGTCCTAACCCTAAAGTAGATCCTCCCTTTGTAGCATTGACAATGGAGTGATAAATTAGAGCTCCTATATCTATCGATTCCATGGTTTGGATGCAATAATTGAAAGCAGATCTCTCTCTCTCTCTCATTATCTCACTCAAATTGGTGGAAGGCAGAAGCTTGGTTGAAATGCAATACCAAGCTTTGGAAGGTGCTTTTACTTTATATGAAGAAAAATGCACTTTATACTCATTCCTTACCTTCCAAACCCCCTCTCCATTAGTCAATAATCTAATAATCTTGTCAAAATAAGAACCAGCAGGGATGAATCTAGAGTAGTAACTACCAGAGACATCAACTAATGAGAATAACACATTAATGTATGAAGAGGAGATATTCTCTTGCTTCTCCTTGACAAATATTGAACATTCAGAGGCCTCAGAGAGGATGACATAGAACTCCTGAACCACAAAAATCACTATTACTGCCATGTTCTAGCAAAAAGCCTCACAGTCTCTCCTAACAATCATGCTTTCTATCTAACTCTCGGGGCTAATGATTCTCCTCTCCGCAATCAACTTCTTAAACTTTAAGAAGTCATTGTAAGGCTCCTAAGATTTGAAGCTTACGAACTTTTTTTTTTTCATACGAAGTTGATTTGGATTTTTCACCTTTAATTTTTGGATCCATAGGAAAGTAGCAATGTTGAAAATGCAACAAAATGAGGCTAAATATTTGTGTAGATACATATAGAATGCTAGTTACGAGCTTAACCAACTTTTCCACAAAAAACCCCAATTTTC